AAGGATCAAAAAAAGTAAATATGCTAGAAATGAGGTAAGAGATTTACTAGAAAACAACATGAACATCCACATCACAGATATGTTTTGCTGGAAGTAACATACTAAGTTGATATACAAATTGAGAAATTGGCAAAAAAAAAATCCAAAAATGCTAAAACATTCTCACATTAAACTGAAATTTTGATTACTGATCCTGAAAAATATTTATGAAGTTAATATTTCCATAGACTTTTAAAAACAGCTTTACTGAAATACAATTAACATATAATCAAATGTACATATTTAAATTTCACAAGCTGATAAATTTTGATATGTGCTCTATTTTCATAAGGACTTTAAATTACCATGTGACTTCAGACAAATTTAATACTTCTTAAAATATTACCATGAAGATAAAATAAAAACCTATCAATTAAAACTTCCCAGAAATCTCTGCAAGCTTTTAAAAATGAGCCCATGCAATAGTAATTGCTGGGAACTTTGTGAAGAGATTAAAAAAAAAACACCTTTTTGGAGAAACGGAATCTAAGGTCCTCTCACTTTGTCCTTTTGAGCTGTTTGGGTTAAGAGGAGTTGAGAGCATATCTTTGACAAGCATAGTTCCTCTGTTCTCTCCTAATGACAGAGGATGTCAGAGGTGGGATGATGAACCAAGCTTGTTGGCTGGAAGAGGGTTGTGGTGGTGTCTTCTCTGGACATATCCCAATTCTCATTCTCATCAACACCTTCGGGGACAAGAGGTGGAGAAGCAGAATGAAAACAGAAAGCAGTCACAAAGCTAAGACTCCTTTGAAGGAGATGAAATGCTTCCCCACAAAATTAAGGTTTGACATTAATTTTTCTCAGCCTTTCCAGTTCATTCAATTATTCAATATTTATTGAATGCATACCATGTGCAGGCCTTGTTCTAAGTGCTAAGGATACAGCAATAAGAAGACAGTCTAAAATTATGACAGTTTATATAGAAAACAATAAACAGATATATACAGTGGTATGTTGGTAAATAGTTAACAACCAGCTCTCAAAAAGAAGAAAAAACCCATAAAAACAATCCTAATTTGCAACTTTTTGACAACTTTAGTAATATAACTGCTTCCACCATGACTATTTTCAAGCTACCAACCTGACATCACTCAATGCAGAGTCGAGAAGAGATGGACTAACCTGAATGAGCTAGCCTAGGCTATCACTGGATATTTAACTTAATGTCAGGTAGTGATACGTGCTATAAAGAAAAAGCCCAACACTTTTAATGAGTTGGGAAAAGCCTTTCTGAGACTGTAAAAGGAAGATAGATTATCACTTACTGAATACCTATTACAGTCAAAAACAATGGTAGGCAGGGGATTCAAGATGGCCACAGGGCAGGTGGACGTTACCTCCTCCCAGCACCAAACAGATTTTCAACTAAATTATAGATGAATCAACCTGAATAACCAACTGAAGCCAAGCTGAATAGAAGTATTATAACCACAGATCTATAGAAGAAGCCACATAGAGACTGAATAATATTGAATGTAAACTGTAATTGAATTTTTTTTTAAAAAATTTAAAAAAATACAGTGGTAGGCACTCTCATGTACATAAACTAAATGTCATTTATTTTGACAGGTCAGAAAATTAGAAGCTATGTAATTTTCCCGTAGCCCCCAAATCTAGTGAGACCCCGAAGAGGGAGTCATAGGCAGGCTTGTCTGGTGACAAAGCTTCTCTTTCATGCCACATTCTCCCTCCAACTGTCAGTAGAGCAGATAGAGCACGGGTACAGCTAGGGTACAAAGGAGTTAGTTGCAGCACAAGAAGTCACGCAGATACTAAAAAGAAAAATGTTGGTTCTTAACACTTGTGCTGGACATCAAAATTGCCAACTACGTTAACAACCTCCCTGATATAGAGAATAGTGAAGCCTCTCCAAGTCTGTTTCCTTATCCATAAATGGGGTTAACAGTAATGCCTCCCTCGATGGTAGGTATATTAAATGAGATAGTGGATACACAAAATCACTTTCTGAAAGCAAATAAACAAAACCCCCAAGTCCTTAAATCTCACTGCACCAAGGAACTCAGCCCATGGCTCACGGTCAGACCAACGATGGAGGGGCAGCCAAAGGTATAAAATGATGGCCATGAGAATGGCCCAGTTTGGACTCAGGGAAAATGTTCTGAGAAACAACCCCAGGAGGACATCTGACATGGAAACCAAGGAAAGGGATACAGGGTGGAGACAGATGAAACAGAGATGGGTTTACTCTCACCCCATATTTATGACTCATTGCTCCCTCGAGGTTGGGAGGTGCAAGAACGAAGGCACGTCTGGTAGGAAGTGAGGAAATTCTAGGGCACTCGATCGTGTGACTAGTATATGGAGGGCAGGGCACGAAAGGGACTTTCCGGATATCGGTAGAGTCCAGCTAAATCCCTCTCTCCGTACACCCAGGATGAGCCGAGAGAGGGCCCCAGTAGGATTTCGAGCCAGCAAAGAACAGAAGCCCAACGCCAAGCAAGCTCCGCTACCCAAGGCGGGACGGCAGCTGCGCGCGCAGCCCACTCCCGCGCGAAACGGCTCCCGTGTTCAGACGGCACTGCGAGATGCACAGGGGAAGACGGTCCCTTGCTTTCCTTGTGGAGCCATTGTTTTCTGCAACAAACCCTTTCCTTTTGTTTTCATTTTGTTTTATTTAGTTGCGATTATCTTAAGTAGGCGCTCTCTGTCGACCAGGGTCCAGACTTCCCTACCCTCATCTTCGCCTCCGGTCTTAGCTTCCCGGCCGCCTCACTCGTCTCAGCCAACCCTTGCTAAACTGCGTTCCATACGTCACGAGTTTCTAGGTAGATCAGGGAGCTCCACCGGTCAGGAGCGTCCTCGCGCGCCCCCGCGCGCCCCAGCCTGGTGGTGCCTGCCAGCGCGACCAAACGGTCTCGGCGCGTGGTGGAAGCCGAGAGCGTCTCAGAAGAGACGCGCGACGAAGCGGGCGAATCCGCCGGCGAGCGACCGGATGAGCGGCAGGAGCAGCAAGGAACGGCCCTCAGTGAGGATTTAGGTTTTGTCTTGTTTGATTGGGTACATGCCAGCGTTTCCGCCCAGATTTTTTGTGGAATCTATGGAGATAAGGCCTCATGGCGACCTTCGCCCTCTCACACTTAAGTGAGCTGGAAATCCAGAAGGGCACTCATTATCTTTTTTCCCTCATGTTTTTTAAAAAAATGTTTTACAAACTATCCTCCGTTAAAAGCCTTCATGGCCTGCGGGGCTGAGAGCATGAGAGCCGTGTTGTGGGCACGCTAGAGAGGAAACTCTTCTGAGCGAACTGGCCTTCTTAAAACTGTATCCAAATGGCGGGCACAGGTCCTCACACAGTATTTGTGAACATCCTGTTGTAAATATCCTAGCTAGTTCGGTCGCCCATTCATTCGTAGCTGCTGAACTCCTACAACCATTCTGGGTGCTTGGGATCCATCGGAAAAAACCCCCGAGGGCCCTGCCCTCAAGGGGCCTGCCGTCCAGGGAGGGAGGTAACCAGAGTGACAGGCCTAAGAAGTACGTGAGAGCGTGTTCGGAACGTGCTGTGGGCGTAGAAAGCAGTGTCTTCGCTTACGGGAGTGCTGTGGTGTGGGGCGGCACCGCGGCTAAAAGGAGGGGGGCCCTCAGCGCAGAGATACTTTGAACTGGGCGAGGGACGAGGCCAGTTGCAGGCAGAGAGAGAGAGCAAAGGCTGGAACGTGACTCAGGTGTGTATAAGAAATTGCCAGGAGCCCCGGAATATACACGGATGGTGAGAACCCTAAACTGGGACAGGAAGTCTAGGTCAGGCTACACAGCCCAAAGCAATCCAGCTGCACCTTAGGGTCTGCCGCCCTCCCCTCTCTGCCTGCCCCTCTCCCGGGCCGGAGTACAGGTCCAGCAGTTGAGAGAGTTTAGCCCTTTCATTTGGGATGCGATCTACAGATTAAGCAGAAGGAAGTTCAGAGATGTAACAATTGTTTCCCATAGGGATGCTGTTGTCTTTCTTCTTAAGAAAAGGAATATAAAATTTCATATTTTAGTACCTTATCATAACACGCCATGTGAAAAGAAGGATGAAATATTAGAGCTGTGGGGATATTGGGAGTATGTGTTAGTATATGAGTATGAAAACAAAAAGGAGCCCCCATTTTCTTATATCTGTTTATGTGGCATGGACACATACTGGTGACAACTACAAGGGAAAACCAACTAGCTTGGCTTATAGTGGTCAGAGATGGGAAATCTTTTTTTAGCTAAGACTCTAGGAGCAGAACATAGTCTCTAAGATTAAGTCACAACAAGATCAGGCTCTGCAGAAAAAGGTAACATCAGCAAGCTAAGGGGAGGTGAATAAAATAGAAGGAGCTCTTGGATTCACCTCTATGGGGAGTTGTCTATGACGGTGTGGCCCCGTCAAAGCACGGATAGTAAAGACTCATTGAATATACAGAAGCAGTGAAGTACTGAGAACATTGCCCAGCAGTCACGATGCCTGGGTTTGAATTCTGCCTCCACCAGTTAACTGGTTGTGTGATTTGGGATCAGTTACTTCACCTCTCTTAGCCTTCATCTGATCTGTAAAAAGAGGAGGTGGATTTTTAAAGTAAAGCAGCCCAGTGCCTGGAACATAGTATATATTTACTAAATGTTAAATTATTAGACAAGATGTGATTGAGAAAGTGTCTATAGAGCAGTAGTGAGTGCGTAGCTTGGAGTAGGCGTTAGAGAGTACTTTATCTCAAGGAATTCAAAAGCTAATTGGGATTCTACAATGTACAAGTTAATGTGACTGTGCATTATTAAAAAAAAATTACACAGCTGAGTAAGCATGCCCTTGAAACAGTAGGAAGTCCATTTTTCTGTGCCCTTCTCACGCCACTTTCAAAATAACATTAGATATAAACAATTGATATTTTCTAAATCTTAACATAAGATTTGGGAAAATATGTGAAACACTGCTATTTCTTTCTCTCCAGCTGTTGGCCTTTCTCATAAGGATGAAAATGCTGCTGTTTGGTGTCTGGGCCCTGCTGGCTTTGCTGTCTTCCCCAGGTGAGGCTATTTGCCAAAGTTTCTTTAGCCATATGTGCTAGGGCACAGGTGGCTGGTCAATGAGGAAGAGGATAGGAAGTCCTGAATGAGGCAACACTCTAGTATTCACGCGTCTGGATCCTTAGGAGAGATTCCTATTCTTTGGATCACTAGGACACAGAATCTAGGTGTCTCTGGTTATATTAGAATAAACCAAATTAAGAGACAGGATACTAGACCATCAGTGAGAACTCTCCATAAGAAATGCTACTTCTCAGCTTGGCTCCCTGCTGCCCCAGGGCCGTCCTATTTTTTCTACTCCTGAAAATATCTTTACTACTTTGTTGCCACCCTTTGTGTCATGAAGAGCCACAGCAGGACTTAGATAGGACACAGTCCATAGCTCAGGTATAAGGAGTGAGTTCTCTGAATGGCAAGAAAGGAGCTGGAGCCTCGAGGTAACATTGCTACAAGAGGGCCTATTCCCAGAGGGCACTGGTATTTGGGAGATGAAGTAGATGGTGGGTTTGGCATAGCTAAAGGGGACTCTAGGGAAGCTTTCATGAGACTGTGCTCCTCACCTACATCAGGTGTCTAAAATTTGCCTGAGAGAGATGTCTCTCTCACTGTACCTGAGATTTCCCTAACAGATAAAACTCTTAAGCATTCCAAAACTTCTGGTGCTTTAGCACCAAAGCAAAATGGAACAGTCTTACTTTGAGAAGAGATGAAAAGTTCCATGGAAAATGAGTGACCCTGGGGGTCATCCTGGGAGCTTCCAAGATTTCTGGAAGTTTAGGAAGAGTGTGGTTTCCTGGGCATAATTTTTAGCAACTCCATAGTTTCCACAGTGACACGAAAGGGGCAATCAGACCCCAAGAAAGGTGATGAGTGGAGGGACTGGTGGTGGACTCAGGATTCTAACTTGTTCAATAAGGGTCTTTTTCTTGGCTAGTCCCCTCTACCTTTTCATGCAGAGGAGGTTTCTATTCTCTCTAACTAGATAAGCAGGCTCTGGATTTTGTTTGGGTCTTGTGGTCCTCATCAGAGTCTTTGGCATGTACGGTTGATCATTTCAGGGGCCACAGAAGGGCTATTTGAGGTCTCTGTTCAGCCAGAACAGGCCCTAGTAAAGTTTGGACAATCCCTAATGGTCAACTGCAGCACTAGCTGTCCAGACCCAGGACCCAGTGGAATTGAGACCTCCCTAAAGAAAACCCAGGTGGGCAAAGGGCCCCAGTGGAAGGAGTTTCTCCTGGAGGACGTCACAGAGAGTTCCATTCTGCAGTGCTTCTTCTCTTGCACAGGGATCCAAAAGGACGCAAGCCTGGACATCACCATGTACCGTGAGTGCGGCTGAGGGCCAGGGAGGAAGGGAAGCATGGGGGAACGTGACCGTGCCTTATTTAGGGGAAATTAGAGATTTCTTTTAGGAGAGAGAGTTAGGGACCTCAATAAAGATTTCCATCATACTGTGGGAGTTAGAGCCAATTACTTCTATTTCCCTTTGGTGTAGGCTTTTAAATTAGGAGCATACCATAGAGGGCAACCAGACAGATGTGCTTGAGAATATGTTCAAATACAGGGGGCATATGCTAATAATGCTCACTTATAAATGGTCACAACAGTATAAAATAGGTGCTAAATTATTTGCCACAAATTCTTAGAGTGAACAGGGATTGGAGAAAGGAGGGTCTAGTTGGAGAAGTCTTCATGGAAGAGGAGTCTCCGGAGCCCCACGCCGGCACAGTGGTCAGGATTTGAAGTGATGGGAATGGGTGAGGAGGGTCTTTCAGGTGGGCAGATAGCATTAGCAACGATATGGCTTTAAGAACAAGACCCATCCCTGTGGGGTAGGAGTGTGGTTAGCTCTGTGTAGGTTGGTCTGATGTTCAGGAGCACCCCTGAAGCTCCTCACACCTCTGAAGCACTCTGGTAAGAGAGAAAAGCTCTCCAGAACGGTAGCAACCATCAAAGCGAGGCACCTCCCTTCAGCAGTCATATTCCTTGGTTATGGCTTTGGCCTCCTTTGGTGGGCAGAAGAAGAGCCAAAGGCTAACTTGTCCCATCTGACACTGTTGGTCAGATGGTTTAAGGGTAGCCATCACCTTCCATCACAGGATGCCTGTCCTGTACCATTTCTTTCTGGAGAGGTGAGTAGCTACCGAACCCGTGTTTTTGTCTTAAAGAGCCACCGGAGCAGGTGATCCTGGAGCTGCTGCCTGCATGGGTGGCCTCAGATGAAGTGTTTACGGTGAAGTGCCATGTGCCCAAGGTAGCACCCCTGGAGAGCCTCACCCTTACCCTTCTTCAGGGTAATAGAGAACTACAGAGAAAGAACTTTGTGAGCTTGGCTGTGGCCTTGCAGATGGCTGAGATCGCCATCAATGTCAAAGCGCACAGGGAGGATCACGGGTGCAATATCTCCTGCCACGCAGAACTGGACCTGAGTTCACAGGGTGGCAGGCTCTTTCACTCCAGCTCAGCCAGCAGAGTGCTCCACATTTTTGGTGAGTCAGAGCTCAGATATGGAAGGAATCCTAAGGCTCATTTTCCTCATCTTACCTTGGCCTTTGGGACTAAGTTCCCCACAGTGTTTAGGATGTGGGTGTGAGGGTAACTGAGCTTCATCTCTTTCTGGGGTTTAAGTTCACCCTGGGGGACAGAGACCTTTTTGCCCTACTTTCTTCCTTCATAGTGCGGTCCTACATGACATGATTTATCATGGTTTTTCTCCTTTCTTTCCTCTTCCTCATTTCTTGGCAGAATTCTCTCAGCCCCCCCAAATCTGGGTCTCTCCACTTCTGGAGGTCGGGACGGCAGAGGCCGTGAGCTGTGAGCTGGCTGGGGTGTTCCCAGCCAAAGAGGTGATGTTCCACATGTTCTTGGATGACCAGGAGCTGAGCCCCTTCCTCTCCTGGGAGGGAGACACCGCATGGGCCAATGCCACTGTTCGGGCCATGGAGACGGGTGATCAGGAGCTGGCCTGCCATGTGTCTCTGGGTCCGATGGAACAGAAAGCAAGAGAGCCAGTGCACATCTATAGTAAGTTACCAGCCTCTTCCCTGTCCTGTGAGTGTGCTGTGCCACTGAAAACTTCCACAGTAAAGCCTTGGTGATTTTCTGACGAGTGCAGGCAGGTGGGAGACATGAACTGAGACGGTAGTTTTATCCAGCCTTCACCCTGTTTCCCTAGGCCATCTTACTCACGGGGCGATTGTGAGTGCTTGAACCTGTTTCTAGGAACAATCACTTGAGGTGAGGAGGAAACCTGTAAGATGAAAAGACATCTTGCTCTCCGTGCCTCAGAAACAGCCCAATGTGGGCATGCCGCATTTATTGTAGGAAAAAGCTCTCAAATTCCCAAACCGCCTTTGTGGCTCCTGCCATTTGGCACCCAGCAGTAATGGTCTCCATAGTCTTTGTTCTGCTGTCCGCCTACCCAAGGATGCCACCAGCAGCAGGAGTGTCCAAGGGGCTGCCAGTTTTGTGAAAGATGTTTGGTTGTCTTTTTCCTTTTCTTATAGGCTTCCCGCCACCAATCCTGGAGGTAGAAGAATTAACATTAGTGGGGACAGACATTAATGTGACCTGTTCAGGGCACGTGTTAACCTCACCCAGCCCTACTCTTCGGCTTCAGGGAGCCCCAGACCCCGCCGCCCCTGGGGAGCCCGTCTGGTTTTTACTTACCACCACAGAGGAAGATGACGGCCGAAACATCTCCTGTGAGGCCTCTTTGGAGGTTCAGGGTCAGCAGTTGATCAGAACCACCACAGTCCAGCTCCGTGTCTTGTGTGAGTGCAGGCCTGACCCTTCCTCTCAAAGCAAGGGTTCTTACTGCCCCATTTCCAGAGGTCCTGGCTCGCAGCTTCATTACTAGAGTTGCCCCATTTTTTCTCTTTATATTAAAAAAAAAATTAAATTAAATTAAAGCTCTCCAAGCTTACCTAACCACAAGCAAAGTGAGTGGGGGAGAAACATGAGGGAAGCTGAGAACAGAAGAAAGTGGGTTAGCGATCAGTTGGCACTAGTTGCGGGCCAGTTGGCTGAGAACGTTGGGAAGTGACAGTTGGAATTTACCCTGAGAAAGGAAATTTCCACATAAAAATTTGTATTTTGAAAAAATGGGGAAGTGCTCCTTTCTGGGTTCACCACTACCCATGTCCTCACTCACTGAGAAGCAGGGGACGCAGGGCCACCATTGGCAGAGCAGTCCACATCTCTGAGTCAGTGTCCATGGAAGTGCCCTGTGCTGTGCCTCAGACTCCCTGCGCATAGGGACAGGAGGAAAGAGGAGTGGCTCAAAGCAGGGAGCTGATGGTCCACCCTTAGGTGGAGGGGACACAGCATTTGGATTAGCAGAAGGAGACGTGAGCATGACCAGGGAGGAGGGAAGGTGCACACTGAATTCTGTTCCCTTGGGGACTCTCATTTTTTCCAGACAGACCACGCTTAGAGGAATCTGGTTGCCCTAGCAACCAGACATGGATGGAAGGGACAGAACAGATGCTAGCCTGTGTCCCAAAGGGAAACCCAACTCCGTACTTGGTGTGTACCTGGAATGGAGTGTCCTTCAACCTTGATGTGCCGCAGAAGGCTACGCAGAACCACACTGGAACCTACTGCTGCACGGCCACTAACCTGCTGGGCTCCGTCAGCAAAGACATTGCTCTCATTGTTCAAGGTGACTGTGGCAGCCCTACTGTCAGGCCCAGGATGGAAATTGCCCAGGGGTGTGGGGATTCTTATCGAAACATAGAAAGAAGAAAAACTGCAGTGGGGTGGGGAGGCTGAGACTGAGAAGTGAGCTTGGTGGGCTGGGGCAGGGTGATTCTCTTGCCCTTGAGCCCTCCCAATTCTGTGCCTTCTGTGCTTGGGCAGGACTGGATGAAGGAATCAGCTCCACCATCATCATCATCATCATTGTCGCCCTTGGAGCGGGTATCATCACCATAGCACTGTATTTGAACTACCAGCCCTGCAAGATGGAGAGGGAGAAATTGCCCTATAGGCAAAAAGAGAAGAACAAAGAGGAGGAAAACCAGTTTGCAGTTCAACAAGCAGAAATGTGCATCGCACATAATTGTTAAACAGAAACGACTCTTTGGTTGAAGGTGACCTCTATTACTGGGGTCTTCTAAGGGAGGAAGGGGGTAGAGGAGAAAGGAAGAGACATCCTCTCTGTTATGAAGTCCCACAAAACGTGCTAAGGCTCCATGTCCCTTGTGTCCAGTCCATCCACAAGCTGCACTCCTCCAAGTGCACTGTAGTCTCCAGGAATTTCGGTCTCAGTGGGGCCTCTGCTCCTTGCTGTGTGAGTAATCAGTCCACTCGGATTCAGAAAAGAAGATCCTGTCTGGGCCTCATCATCCCCATCATCACTGCCCTTTGCTCCCAAATATCGGACTGAAGAGACAGAAGTGTCTCAGAAATGCAACTCATTTCTTGTGGTTTCCTCATAACTAAGTGGGAAACAATTTCTTAGTCCAGGGACAGGACTTTGAAGGGAGTAAGTACCAAACAAAGGGGTAGGAATCAGAACCCTTTTCCCGTAGACACACTCCTCTGCTCCCCTAACCTGGGGTTCTGGAGTGCTGCCTCCCAGACCCAAGCTTGTTAGACTACAGCTCACTAACCATCTATTTTGTGCCTTGGAGGAGAACAAAAATCATAAGACATCCCACTTGGGGTTTTACCCAGCCCACTGTCCTGTCCCTGATGTGGAAGTTCTTCCATGAAATTGGCCTCATAGATTAAGGGCTCCAAACACCTCTGAATTTCTTTTCAGAATCCATTATAAAGTAATCATCTGTGAGTTCATATTTAACATATACTTTTTTTTTTTACCTATACAGTATAGAGTTCCAGTGTTTATTCCCCCTTTTCATAAATAAATGTGTATTTTCATGTTTGCAAACTATTTCCTTTAAGTCTTTGGAGGGCTTCTCCTGTGACAATGTTCACCGTATGATTTTGTGATTCAGCTTCCTTCTCTGGTCTTGGAAAGAGAAGACATTGAGAATCATAAAACCAGATCTTTTCTCCCAAATCAGTCACGTGGGTCACTGAAATGTTGGGTGATGGTAAAAGCCACATGATTGCACTTCAAGTACAATTTCTAAGACTGTCAAGTTGGTAGCATATACAACCAGCCAGGGCAGGTGGTGCATTAGCTCAGGGCAGCAGCCTGTCGGACTTACCCTCAAAACTAAAGTTCAGACTTCCAGATAGAGAGACGTCCACAGCCTTTCACACAGAAAGAACACAGCATCAGGCATCAAAGTGAACAAATTCATTCTTCACAAACCTTTCCAGAGTCTGGGGTATGGATTAGGTATTAACACTTTGGCTTCAACTCATACCAGGCAGTGAGGATACAAAGGTGAACAAAATACTCTCTCTGCCTTCTACAAGCTTACAGTCTCTGGGGGAAGCGGGAGCAAGTCAGCAGGAAATTACAGTTGTGTCTTAACTCCTATGACTGGGAAAGCAAAGGGGGTACAAGAATTTAGGACCAAGGCAGGATTCTTGGGAGGAGATGGGAAATACCTTGATTTTGCAAAACAGCATGCCCCCCAAAATGACCTTTTCAACTTCAATTTTCCACTATAGTAGCGACTGCTCTCTCATAATGTGAGTAATGTAAATTATTCACTTTTTTTGAATTGAGCACTTGGGGAAATCAGTTAGGAAGCAGGTTTAGGAGAAAAGAGCATAGAGCTGTCTAATCCAGGAAGCTCCAGCCACTTCGGTGTCTTGGGATCAGCTGCCTCAAGCCTGGACTTACTTCGGCCTTCAAACCCCACTTAATGACCCTGGTGCCCTGAAGCGCAGTGACTCCGAAACAGGAGGGAGGAAGGGGGTTGTTTGAACTTCCTGGTTCCATCTTGGAGAAAACCTGAAGGCTGAGTCTGCCCCGCCTTTGCTTCTCACTGCCACATGGTGTCGCTGTTGACAGTGTCTGACGCAGTTCACTAAACCTTGAGGCTCTACAGCGCCAAGTTCGGGGTCCGCTGCCGCGCCTCTTTCAGGAGTTTGATGCACTTCCTTGGGGCGTGGTCCAGGTAGAGGTGACTCCTTGCACGGGTTTCCAGGGCTACAGTTTCCAGAGCTCAGTACTTTGGATTAGCTGTCCAGCAAGGCTCTTCACATTTGGGTAGCCACCTTCCTCTCGTAGACTTGGGACTTGGTTCCCCTTGCCCTCCCCAGAGATCCACACAACCACGCAGGAGGTGCCCGTTTCTAGTCAGTTCTTAAAGCACAAAGGGTTTCATTATGTCTCTTTTCTAAAATAACAGAGCTAGTCTCTGTCCAACCGTCTATGGGTAGCTCTCTTGTCTCCGGGGGCCCCACTCCCTAAAATGTTTGGATTATATATATATTTTTCTGAACCATAGGGAATCAGCTCACACTTAACTGTGGCTACCCTGATTATCTTCAAGGGAAGAGAGTTACTTTCCAAAAGTTTATTCTCTTAAAACAGTCAAGGTAACTTTCTGGTGTCTTTCTTTTTAAACCTGAAGAGGAAAAAAGCTAAATCTTCAGTGGGGTTTCTTACTATAAGGATAATAGTATTTACCTATTACAGAATTATAGTTGGAAAGAAATGACATAGTACTTGTAAAAACACGCTGTATACGCATGTTCGCAAGTATTTGTTTCCATTGTTACACCAATAATGCTGGTAGTAATCATATCATAATTATAATAAACTCAAAGCAAAACCATGGCAACCATTGAAGGCCATCAAAAGTCATATATTGCAGACATCTCCTTTCTCTTTCCCATTGTGCTCTCCCTTCCTCCTTTTCTATTCCTCTTTTTTCCTCTGCTTTCCTCCTTTTTTGTTCCCTAAGATTTAGGACTACTTGTAGGATGACCAGTTGTTCCAGTTTGCATTGAGATGAAGAGTTCATTGACATGGGATATCCCAGAGCTAAAACTGGGAAAGTCTTGTGCAAACTGGGATGAGTTGGTGACTGTAAGAGTAAGTGGGTAAGTAGGGTGGGTGCAGGAAGGGGAAAGGGTCATTTCTGCCCTCGAGTGTGTATAAAGGGACAAAACTCACTGCATGTGTTCAGCAATGCTGAAAGAAGAAATTCAGAAGCGGTCATTTAGGTTAAATTGAAAAAATTACAAATGGAAAAATACAATAAAGGTTAAATTTAAAAAATTTTAAAACTACATGGAATGTATTACAGAGTTGTACACCTGAAACCTATATAATTTTATTAACCAATCTCATCCCAATAAATACAATAAAAAGTTTAAAAATGTTTGAGCAAAGAAATTGAAAAAGTAAAATAAAAAATAAAAGATTACATGGAGTTGGAAAAACATTATTTCAGGCCTCTAGAATTACTTGAACTCTGCCTATTGAATTTTCTTATGCAAATCTTGCTAATTTCACCCTTGGAAAGACTTTTCATTTTCTTTTATTGATTGGTTGATTTTAGAAAGAGGAAGGGAGAGAAAGAAACCAATTTGTTGTTATGCATAAGTGGACAACAAATCAATATTCCTCTCCCCTTCTCTAAATTAAAAAAGAAAAAAATACTTAAAAATTTAAAAAATGTGTAATAAAATAAACATAACATAATATTTACCCTCTTAAACGTTCTAAGTGTATATATAGCTCAATAATGTGAAGCACATTCACACTGCTGTGCAACCAATCTCCAGAACCCTTTTCATCTTGTAAAACTGAAACTCTGAAGCCACTAAATAACTCCCTGTTCCCCCTGACCCCAGCCTCTGGTAACCACCATTCTACTTTCTGTCTCCGAATTTAACTACTCTACGTACCTGATATGAGAGGAATCATATCATATTTACCTATTTGTTACTGGCTTATTAGAACATTTTTGAATGACTGGTTAGAATTAGAAACAGAAAGAGCCACAACTGGCCCAGGTCTCACAACTCCTTTTGCTCCTCCCTTCTTTTTTTCAATACAATAGCTGTGACACGTGTAAGCTCATCTTTGTGGTCCTGAGGTCAGTGGCTCTCAACCTGGTTTGCACTTTAGACTCACCCGGGGAGTTTTTAAAAACACTCTTGCCTGGACTATGCCTGGGTAGCTCATTTGGTTAGAGCATTGTCCAGATATGCCAAGGTTGCCTTGGATCTCTGATCAGGGCACATACAAGAATCAACCAGTGAATGCATAAAATAAGTGGAACAAACAAATCGATGCACATCTCCCCCTCCACCCCCGCCATCCCCCGCTTCTCTAAAATCAATCTTAAAAATAAAAAAACAAAAACAAAAAAACACCACTCTTGCCTGGATCCCTCCCCAGATCAATTAAATCAGAATCGCAGGGAGTGGAGGCTATCGCCAGAGTTGTTTAGAAAACATCCCAGGCCTTTCTAATTTGCAGTGGAGATTGCCATTTACTGCCCAGTTGAAGAGCTGAAAAGCACAATAACATTTGTTAAAGAATTTAGAGTAGATGGTCTTTAAGGTCTTTTTAAATTCTAAAATTTTGCAAAAACAACTAGCATCTTTGAAATTCTTAACCAGCAGGGGTAGAGTTGATTAAGCTTTCAGCGGAAGAAACTGAGCGGATACTCTCTGGATTGTGGCTCCCCCTGCAGTTGACTGCTGTCATGACACCTTAGAATCCTCTCAACCCGTAGCTATAACATCCCTTCCTCTAGGCATCACTTTGCTGCCACATTCACTCAATGAATACTTAAGATGGCTCATGTTTCCTTTTAAAACACTTATCCAAGCCAAGACATAATTGTATATGTGTGCTAATTTCATGAACTTCTAAAGACTGTGAGATTCCCAAATAATTCTAAGGTCAAATGAAGGATATTACAGGGAAATTGATTTCTGCTTAATGTAAGAAATACTTGTCTGAAACCAGAGAGATTTAGTAGAGTGAGTTGCCTTGTGAAATGGTGATTGCCCTTATGCTAGTGCTGCACAAGTGATCACCATCTGCAAGGGATGCTATAGAATAAGATTCCTAAATTAGAAGGAATTAGGATGATTTATGAGGCCCTTCTACCTCCAAAATGCTGAGGTTTTAAAGTCAGACAATAAAAGCATGATCTAAAGCAGATGAATGGTTTCTGAGCCAAGAAATGAAGCTCTGGGACTCTGATTATTTCAATTTTCAACCACTCCCCAAAGGCTTACATTACTAACTATAAAATACTGAAAATAAATACCAGTAACTCCAGCTTTAAAGAAAATGAATTATAGTACATAAACAAATCTGAACTTTTCATGAAGATTAATTAGGAGGGTGAGTATTTGCATTGTAAAAGAATTACTGATTTTGTAAAATCATATTTGGATAATAGACTTACTTCAAGCATGTAAGTATTAATTTACTAGTTACTTAGCCAAGGTGTTTGGGTGCCTTTTAAGTTCATTTAGAAATTTTTTAAAATTTGGAAAAATGGAATATGATTTAATAACAAGTATTTAAACATTCTATCAGAAAACATGGAATACCCCAAAAGTCAATGCAAAAACAGCTGCAATTTCTTGAGTGCTGTAATGTGTCAACCCCTTTAGAAACATCAACTCATTTAATCCTCACATATGCCTTGTAAGGCAATTTATTATAATCTCCATCCTGTAGGTGAGGAAACTGGGTCTCAGGGAAGTAAAATAATCTATTCACGAGCATAAATTAAATCTCAGTCTTTTGGATTCTTTCCCTCATACCAAGTTATCTGGATCCACTGCTCTTTGAACAAATTCCTCGCTGACTGCTTGAAGATCAATGTAATGCATATGGCTTAATTTTTTCCCTTAAAATATTTTCTTCCTTCCTTCCTTCCTTCCTTCCTTCCTTCCTTCCTTCCTTCCTTCCTTCCTTCCTTCCTTCCTTCCTTTCTTTCTCTTTCTCTCCCTCTCTCTCTCCCTTCCTTCCTTCCTTCCTGCCTTCCTGCCTTCCTTCCTTCCTGCCTTCCTTCCTTCCGCGAGTAAAGGAGGGACAAAGAGAGGGAGAGAAACATCAGTACGTGGTTGCCTCTCACGCACCCCCCTACTGAGGATCTGGCCTGTAACCCAGGCATGTGCCCTGACTGGGAATAGAATGAACGACCCTTTGGTTTGCCGGCGGGAGCTCAGTCCACTGAGCCACATCAGCGAGGGCAAAATATTTTCAATATAAATTAATTGTCACTGTTTAAAAATTAGATTTCACATTAAGATCTGGATGTCCTGTCTGTTTTGAAGACTCAGAGGGTCTGGCAGCCCTCCTCCTGCAGTCCTGACTGAATGACAAGGCTGGGTGGACACCTTAGCAAGGGCCTGAGTTCTTTGGGTTGCTCTGGTCCCCTTCCCCTCCATGTTGTATCCTTCACAAGGAAGCTGAGTCAGTTGTGACTTATCTCTTCATATCCAGCCCTCATTACTTAATTATCCACCTGGCACCTCTTGATGCCGAATTTGCAACCCCCAATTTAGAATCTCTCTTCCCCATTTCTTGCCCCAATTGAGATCCCAAACATTCTGGTTCTGTTTGACCCAAAGTCATTTTTGCCTTGTTTCCATTTCCTAAGGATAGTGGGGCCTATGTGTATTCGTTCCCCTTAAAATTTCTGCACAAAAGTAATTCTATGATTTCTGTCATTGTTTTCCCACATGTTGGGGAGTTTTCCTTCTGTACCTCATAGCTGTCTTGCTTTCATTTTTTTCCCCCACACTTGAGGGCTAGGTTTGCGGTTGTGGTGCCGGGGTGGATGGCGGGAATGCCTCCAAGTACTGTATGGGGGTGGACCTGACCTGTGACTGCCCAGGAAGCTGGGGCCACGGACCTAAGGGGTGAACTCGCTGTGTAACAGAGAGGAGTGAATGAGTCAGCGTCTTTCTAACCCAGGAAGAACTGCTGGGTTTGTTGTCGTTCAGGGGCCTCGTTCTATTTAATAGACCCCACAGGATTCCTACAGGTTGTCCTCCCAACCTGCCCCTTGCCCCGTACACACTCCCCCTTCCCGTTCATAGTAGAATGACACATACTAAGAAATTATGATGCAACTTAATTTTATTAGGAAAGGACAGTGGACACTGGAGTGTCCCTTTCCAGGGTCAGGGGAGGCACTGGGAAGGGGTCACAGAGATGCCCAGCAGCTAGAAGGCACAGCTGCTTTCCATGAAGCGACGACACTTTGTGAACCGCAGGTATGTCTCAACCTTGTGCAGGTCTTTCTTGAAGCAGGAGAGCAGCCCGTAGTTCTTGAGCACTGTATCATCACTACGCAAGTTTGTGTCAAACTTGTCGTAGGTTGTTTGCCTGAGGATCAGCGCAGCCCGGGGACTGCCGTCTTCCAGCTCCTGCGAAAGGGAAGGAGGGAGAGAGACTCAGTCCTTGCTGGCTGCTCCCCCTGCCCCCTCCATGTCCCTCCCTCCCCTCCAGGACTTAGAGAAAGACACGGAGTGTTCAAGAGTGGAAAGGAGGAGTATGACTTCTCCCGGGTCAGGGCGGAGCTGCTACACGGAGAACGACAGTATCTCTCTTCTCCAGCCCATGTAAGTCCCCCACCCCTCAGCTAAGCCAGTGGGGCCTCTGGCCCCAAGGGAGGGCAGGCATGGCCCCTGGTTGGGCACCAACAACACCATCCCCACCCGCATCAGGACTTGGATGCCTTCCTCCAGGTCCCTCAGCTTCTCGTAGACGCGGTTCGAGGTGAAGACCCTGCTGAGGAACTGCACGGGCCCGAGCCAGGACTGGATGAGCAGCAGGGAGAAACGGAGCAGCTCCACGTCCTGCAGGGAAGGGTGTGTAGTGGGTACCGGGCAGCCCCGCCAACGGCGGCCTCTGCAGGTCTTCCCCCGCAGTCCCACCTCCCGCTGCTACCCTCCACCACCTTGGGGAGCAGGCAGACCAGGGCCCAGGGGGAGGCGCAGCTGCCCGGGCTCTGGTGCAGGGATGGGGCCACCTTCTTAGAAAGAGGGAGGCCTCTGTTCTTCAGCTGGGCCGTGGAGGCCACTCACAGATTTCTGCCGAGCCTCTTCCTTGCCCGTGGGGGCTGGAATGGTTTCCGAGAAGCAGAAGGCAGCCTGGATCGAATATCTCTGTCCCTCCGGGATATACGTGCGCTCCTGGCAGAAGGAACATTCGCCCAGGTCTAAGCCGGTGCGCAGTTCTCATCACTTTCTTCGGGACTTCCCTCAGTTTATACTTACCTGACAGCATCTTCACTTGGATAAAATCACCCTGAATTCACCAATTTTCTCCCCTTATGTCGGGGGCCCTTCCTGCCCCCCCACCCCCCACCAGCTTCCTGGGTTGCTTACAAACTCTCTGTAGGTGTCAGCAGCCAGTTGGTGCAGGTGCTGGGCCCGGAGCACAGCGTTGGCAAACAGGCTGGACAAGGACATGGTGGGGAAGGCGCCCACCTCGTGGGGCCAAGGCAGGCAGAGCAGGGCAAAAGCCAGGAGCACAGAGGTCCGAGGGCCTAGAGAGAGACACGGAGGCCGAGGGTGGGGCCCCAGAGGGCAGGCAGCCTAAGTCTCCAGCCAGCCCTTGCCCTGCCCCGGGGGCCTCCCTTTCCCCTCTCTGTCCCCCACAGTCTGAAAGCTTTTAAACTTGGCCACATGTCTGGCATGGATGTCTATGTTCACATTCAGAAGCCCCAAAGCCCAGGGTTAGTGCCCCCACCCATCTGCAGGGTGCCCTGTATTGCCCCTCAATACACAGCAAGCCCAGAGGGATTTTAGGGGTACCTACCTGCAGCCATCTCAGCTGGGCGAGCTGTCCACAGGTCCCTGAGCAGTTTGGGGAGCTGGGTCCTAGGATCCTGGAATTGATCCCTTGTGGACCCTTTTTATACCCTGGCCCCATCTCTCTCTCTCCCTCTGCCCCCACCTGTTTTCTCTATGTATTTATGTATAGGCCCGCTGACAGGGCCTCTGCTGATGGATAATTTAGAACCTCCTCCCACTCATCCTGTTCCTGCTCCTCTCCTGGGGTCATGTCCCCCAGGCTTGTTCCCCTCTCCATTGTCACCAGGCCTGTGAGGGTTGTACACACAGAGTCTCAACTAGGGAGACTACGCAGTCTGTATTCTTTTTAAGTGGAGGGGGTGGCAGAAGGGAATAGTCTGAGCCCAGGTGCATGCCGGCAGGATATCACTGTTCAGTTGTCCTCTGGGATGAGGAGGGCCCCTCTGGTTCCCCAAAGAGGGGCTGTGTCAGGATGGCTGTACCTTCAGAGCTGTGTCGACCCCTCCCTCGCTATATCCCTTTTCTCTTCCCTGTGCGGTTTCCCTCCACCCATCACAGAGAATATGTGTGTTGGGAAAGAGGATCAAGACAGCAATAGATTCTGGAGTTTCTGGGCACAGTTCAGCCCCAGAGTCTACCTTTGCCTCTCTCACCATCCCTCAGACCACCTCAACATCTGGCCCTTCCTCAGGCAGCTGGGTGCAGTGCTAGTTCTGACCACTAGAGGGCATTAGCCCCACACACTGCTCTCCCTTTCCCTGAACATTGGGGCTCCCCCGAGATGGGTGGGCAAAGACCAAAACTTTAGGTGTGGGTGCTCCTTTGGACCTGCACAGAGATACAGACTGAGAAGCAGAAATCCTGGGAACAGACAGGTGCCACAAGTGCTTCCTCCCCCAGCCCTGTTGCCATGAGAGAGTCTCAAAGTTGGAAGAGACCTTGAGAGTTTGAGTCTTGTCCCCAGGGCTGGAACTCAGGGTAGAGCACCCTGAAAGATGCTCTCTCCACTCATTGTAGTCTCCTTCCATTCTGTCTTCTCCTTTTAATATTTGTATAGAGCTTATTAGGTTGTGAAAAGCATGTCTACGCTTTCTCACACTTGACCCTCACAACCATCTTGTGAAGGAAGTATTATTATCACTGTTTCACAGAGGAAGAGACTGAGGTTCAGAGGGGTTGACTTGCATGAGCTACCTCAGCCAAGGCAGCAGATCTCCAAAGCCTTTTCCCGTGTTGCATCATCCCAAGCCCTTTCTCCCAAGCTGACTGGGCGGGCGTCATTTTATTTTAACTTCACGTCACTCTGAAAACAGCGATCCTTTCTTTAATCACAAGGGTCCCTTTGCCTCATTTTGTCCTCTCCTAAAGAACAGATTGTTGTCCCTCATTTCCCAGGTGAGGATGGCCCAGAGAACCAGAGTATGTGTTAGAGACCACACAGCAGGCAAGGCTAGGGATCGGGAAGATTAGCACTGCTGCTTTCCAGCCTCCTGGTGCCCAGGGTCCTGGCTATTTTGGCATCTGGATGTTACCAGCCCCCTGGGACAAGAGCAGGAAAGAAGACATCCTTCTTCATTTAGACCTTTTGCCCCTTGAGTCTAAGAACATTTAGCACTTGATCCTTTGGTAAAACAAACAAGCAAACCCTTCTAGAGGTGGTTGGTTATGGGGCTGGCAACCAGCATTGAAAAGTTACCCCCATGGTTACAGTGTGAGTACTTGTGCCTTGCCACCTCCCCTTTTTAGGACCAGAGGATAGAGCTCCCTTTTCTCCTGTAATTCCTGAACCAATGACCAGCCATGCCTTTGATTCGTTATCTGCTAGGGAGGACACTGGGGCCTGGGGGAGCTGTTCTCCAGGCAGGACTATTAGAGGAGCAGGATGGGGTTTCATCAAAGCTACAGGCTCTGAGGAAGGTAGGGACAACACTTTCTTCTCATTCTTCTGACTCCACCGAAAAAGAAGGAGCCAGGTGGGAAGTGGATGAGGATCTCTGAGCTCTTCACAGCCTTCTGCCTCCCCTGCTACTCCTCCCTCCTATGTTACTTGGGGGAAGGAGCTCTGATGTGTAACCTCTCATGACACTCTTCTAGCTAATGCTGGAGAGCTTGTGTGTGGACTGTGGACCATGGGAGAAAAGCAAGCCCCAGGCTTCCCCGAGGTGTGAGGATGTAAAGCTCAAGTTGGGGACTGCTTGAGGTATGGCTGAGGCTCCTCACCAAACAGGTTACTGCCAAGAACAGATGGGACTGGCCAGAGCAGGGAGTGTCTCCTCTCACCAAACCCACTTCTGCTGACCCCAGAACTAGGTTGACCCATGGGACTCTGGGGACCCTTGGGAATACTCCTTTTCCTAAAAGTCACCATGGTGGCACTATTGGACCCAAAGAGGAAAGAACTAAAAGGTGTGGGGTAGATGTTGGTGATCCTCTCCTCTGGTCTGGACCTCTTTAGAGCCTTTAGTGATGGTGACTATAGACATGATTCATTGTTAGTAGAAGGCAAACTTTGAATTAGACGGGATTTTCCTTCTAGTGTGGGAAGCCACCCTTTCTTGAAGCACCACCTGGGGCCAGACCCCTGGCTTCTCCAGGTTCAGAGACTGCCCCCAAATGACCTCTGCATGGTGGCCAGTGGGGAGAAGCTCTGACTTGCATCTCTGAGGATAGCCTCGAAAGGTTTGGGATGAGTCCCCCATTATCTTAGAATCTGTGAATTTCAGTGTGTTTGGAAGCTCTTCATGTTTCCATATTTAACCATCTCTGGGGTTCTCTGGACCTATTGTGGAAACTCTAAGATTTGTTCTTGATTGAAAAGTAGCTTCTTTCAGGCTTCAAGGGCCCCTTTGAGGTTCAAGCCTTGGGGTTTAGGGCCATCTCATTATTCAGAGCCACACTCACCTTGATCTTAGCAACAGCCTCAGAGGGACTGGTGGCAGCTCTTCCCACTCTCCCTTGGTCACTTGGGGCCCACACTTCCCACTGCTTACTCTGTCCTGACTTCCTTGAGGCCAGAGTCTGGGATTATCCCCAGGACAACTTTACTTACTCTTTGCTTCAGTAATTGAACGCAGGTCTGGTTGCTCACGGCTTCAAAAGCCAATATTCAAGGGGCAGGTGCTGATGTAAAAGACAGTAGTTTTATTCCAGTGCTGGCCACCTGGGAGATGGGGGACTCTCATCTCAAAGCCCATCTTAGCATCTCAGGTGTCCTGGATGGTTTATATAGTGGAACCATGGGAAGAGGAAGACTAAGGAATTTCTGGTGATATGCAGTTTCTCACATCTGCTCTTGGGTGTTTCAATGTTATCTGCCATGTACGTCATCATATAGTTTCATCACTCCATCCACAGTTTCACTGCTGATATCTGGGAACAGGATGTGCAGGCAGCATTTCTGCTGGTTCTGGTATGAGTCACTGACACTTGACCAATTAATTGTGGTCAGGGTGATTCCTTGGTTAAGGAGGAGGCCACTGCTGATGTCTATAAAATACTTATAAGGAAACTTTTAATACACGAATCTTCTATGAGTTTGTTAATATAGCCTATTCTATAATTACTACCTGATTAGAATATTGTGTTTACTTCAATCACTGTTACAATTCCCCACTGTCAATTTTTCCTCTGTATCTATGGAGCTATTGATGTCCTTTGAGTCTTCTGGGGGAATGAAAATTTTTAGCCTGTTGTAAAGCAAAGTCTCATGAATTAAAAAGCACATGTTGAACAAACACAGTTTTTCTGGTATGGGAAAACCAAGTCATAAAGAGTTTTGAAACAATAAAGACAAGCATTATAAAGAAAAAATTGCCTAGACTTAAATTAAAAATTCTTCCTAATATGGGTTTGAGTCTTTGTGGTACCCATGAGAGTAGATTTGGAAACCAATCTCCAGTCCCCTCAGAAAGAGGGGTGTGATGGCCCAATGTTTGTTGAAGCCAAGTAGCCTGTTGCTTGATTTTGGTGATGCTTATTTCCACCTGAGCTGAGGTGTCAATATAAATAAAGCAAGAGGGTTGAAAATGGTCATGCAAACTCCTCCTTGTTCTGCCAGTGTATAGTCTAAACTAATTCAATTATCTAAGACAGCTTTAGCTAGAGAGTCCAGAGATTTCTGAATATTATCAAATGAGGTGGAAGTTTCATTGGCTATAGTGATTAAAGTCTTAGAGATTCCAAAGTACATGTGGATGTGCAGCTACTTCCCACCAGGCTAACAGAGTACATCTAAAGAAATATTCATTAATGCCTGGGGTTTTTCTGGGGAGATCTCAGGTCATTTGGTTGCTCACCCTGGAGTCCCATCTGCCCAAACAGTTTTACTTACTTGCTTATAGGTCTCAGGAGGGAACAGTTCTCCTCTGGATCCCCCTGAGCAGGTTAAAAGCATCTGGAATTGGAGTGTATGTTCCAGTGGGACTTGCAGGTGAAGCTGCTGCCTTTCAAGAGAAAAGGTTACCTGAGCAGTCAATTTACAGAGCAAGTCCCATCCCAGCAGAGAGATGGGACATTCAGGCAAATTGAGGAAGCTGTGTGATAACTTAAGATCTCTGAGTTGGTATTCTAAAGCCTGGAGGAAGGCTTGTTGCTGCATTTGTCTCCTTATCCCTATGAGTGAGACTGTTGGAGGCTTTTAGTCAGTTTGGTGTTTGATGTAGAGTATGTGGTTCCCATCTCTCTAAAAGTCAATCAACTTGTTCCCCACTGTCAGTTGTATCTGGGGTTCCTGTGGAGAAATAGTAATGGTTTGTGAGGTGTCTAGAAGAGCTTTGGGCCTCCTCATTTATCATCTGGGTCACCATCTGCCTATGTGTCTCTATTGTCTCTATTGTCTTTATTTATTTATTTATTTATTTATTTATTTATTTATTTATGTATCCATGCCTATTGCTAGGCACCTGAGCTTTCCACCTTGGTAACCTTCTGTACCTGGTCTACTGTCCTTGCTCTGATCTTGTCTGTGCATAAGTAAAAATTAGAGCTTTAAAGACAATTAAGTGAATTAGAGTTTAATGTCTCTAACTTTGTATTAGGGTCTATTGAAACACAATTTCTCCCCCTAAAATAACCTTCATTTTTATCAAAGAGCCAAATGAAGACCAATTTATTTGCTGCATTAAGTCCAGTTTCAATTCAGCATGATTATTTGCATAAACATAGCTGGAATAGCAACTGGTCATATAGGCTCTCTTAAATGTACTTTGCTGGAATCTAAAAAGGTATTTCCAGATTGAGCTTTAATTAGCT